CAAAATACGTAATAACATCCTTTATTATATCAGTTACAAACTATTATACAAAAATGAACATGAAGACAATTTACATTAATTTTGAATGGATGTTGCAACATCCCTAACGGACAAACGATTGTACTACACTGAGTATTTTTTAGTTTCCCTGTTTCACACCTCATGCGAAAAGCGCTTAGCATACTGTTAATAAGATCGTATTCGATAGGGGCCTTCACACGTACGCTCAAGAGTCGACGATTGAGCGGGACACTCAAATCTACGCTCAAAAGCGTCAGTGTAAATGACGTTTCAGCGTGGAGGTTTGAACGGGGCTGATGCGTCATCAGCGCCGACGGTTTTGATCGCACTCCAATTGAAGGTCAGGAGCGACAATGTAATTCACAGTTTTACGTGAGGGTTGGAGTGGAATCAAAAGTGGGGTTAGTCGTCGACGCCGAGTTGTTCATTACGTTCTTATACTGTCGATCTGCTTCTGTTCGCTACTGTTCTCAAAAGGTTGCCAAAAATCTCAGAGCGGCAGTAAGGCGTTGTTCGGCAGAAATGCTAGGTCTCATCACTGTGTCCCTTTTCTTAATTCTTCCCTCTACTAAACTGAGAAGTAAATCAAAAGTATGACCATCCATTCTCAGATAATTTCTGAAATCGTCAGGGTAATTTTCTCTGTGTTCTCGAACAAGTGGTTGATCGTTGAAATCTTCCCCGAACCTCTTCACCCAAACACGACGTTTTCTTTCTAATTTCTTTCGTAGGTAGACTACACAACCAGCAGCAGCCACAGAAACAGCTTGTTTATAATGATTACCAACTATTATAGCCATTTTTATTATATATGCTGTAACACAGTCACTTGGCGTGGAATGAAAACTTTCCAATATTTGGAAACTTCGCACGCCACTCAGGAATGACGTTAAAACTGTAAGTTTACTCTTTACACGTACGTTTTTGAGCGGACGAATACAGCGTCGAGGTTTGCGTGGGGTTAAGAGTGTGGCGTCTAAACACGACCCACTCCTGCGTGGCACACTCTTGAACGGCACACTCCTGGCCAACAGTTTTGCGTGCACGCCAAGACGGGTGTACAAAAATCTGGCGTGTGAAGTTTTAACCGCACTCAAACCTTGCATCAAGAGTGTCCCGTTCAAGAGTCGACTCTTGAGGGTACGTGTGAAGGCCCCTAATTGTCCTACTATAGCATACTGTTAATAAGATCGTATTCAATTGTCCTACATATTACCCTTAAATTTTCGTCCGTTCTACTAATGGATTCCATTTCGTTGATAAAGTATAGGATTTTCTCATGGGTGTGGTAGCGATGTATTATTGCTCAAGTGTGGCTTTCCTTACCACTATAAACTTTTCTTACTATTGCAAGGCGTTTGCCAAGGATGTAGCTAAATTGTCCCCGTCTCTATTACATTGGCCATGTGTTGTAAAAACCACTACTTAAGTATCGTCGGGCAGAGAAGGAATTCAGCCACAATGGCCCTTGAGTGATTTGAGTGTGAATTTGAGTACTACATTTCTGAAAGATTAAGTTGCAAGAAGGGAAAAGAGGTGAAGATTAATTAAACACTCGATACAGAAGTGGAGGCTGAGGGTCGTCAGCACTTTGTGAGCCCGTTTGAGAAATTAGAGAAGGCCCTCGATTAAGCAATTAAGGTGGTCTGTTAACTCATCGATATGCTCTCATATTTCCAAAACTGTTGGAAAATTTTCTTATTAAACCGGAAGTCATAAATGTACACGTGCTGAAACTGCCTGGGGGAATGTACGTTTCTATTGGTTGTGGACGTCTTCCAAAATATGATGAAACCAATATATTAGTATGTCTTATAAATGCAATTATTTCTGATACAGAAATCCATTTTATATGGGTCGAGTTTCAATTCAATTGTGTCATACTAAAAAATAACGCATTGGTTGAAATAATTTTCCCAAGCTAATATTTCACTGCCTGAAAATATGACACAAGGTTTGAAAGAATTCCGCATCCTGAAAAATTATTTCTTTGCTAAAACGTTGTACGAGGTTGAAACGTAACCCACAGGCTGGATAGACAAAGATGACAAGACAAGCATTTCAGGTTCATCAACACGCTGACAATAAATTTCGATCAAACTAGATACGTTTTTGTAGACTACTACGTTTTTGTAGCATTTTCGTTTTTAATTTCTTTAAACCTTTTTTTATGTGATAAACTAGACGATTTAACAATACGTTTCACATAGTTATTTGTTAAAAAAAATTAGACGTTACATTAAATTACCAAAAAATGACGTTTTGATACACCAAAAAAATTATTCATACATCATTATATTTCGGTTTTGTGGCATTTTCTTCTTTAATTTAATTCAGTTTTTTATAAATCGTATTTTTACAATAAACTAGACGATTTAGCAATACGTTTCACATATTATATTTGTTAAAAAAATAATTAGATTTTACATCCATTTGCAAAAAAATGTCATTTTTAAACGCCAAAAAATGATTCATACACTTCGTTTTTGTGGTATTTTCAAGGCAGTCATCGACTTACAAATTTAAAATAAAAATAAAATGTATCATATATAGCTTTTTTCAGTTAAATTGGTACTTTTTTCTATCAATTTAATACTTTTTCCAACTAAATTAGTACTTTTCCCAAGCGATTTAATACTTTTCCCAACCAACTTAGTACCCTTCCCAAGCAAATTAATACTTTTCCGAGCAAATTAATACTTTTCCCAAGCAAATTAATACTTTTCCCAAGCAAATTAATACTTTTCCCGAGCAATTTAATACTTTTCAAATGTGGTGGAGTAAAGGGGGATATTAAACATAATAATACTGTCAAGAAACGAAATTTATTATTGAAAATAAGAAAATTAACAAAATGAACCTTTTATTTCAAAGTCAATGCAGGGGACATCCAGCAACCGCTGATGGTAATTTCAGTATCACATCAATGAAAAAATTGGAGCAATCTGTAGAATTGATGGTGTTGACACTGCAACTAATCACTTCTGCAATGTCGTGTTCTGCAGCTGTCCCACCTAAAACCCTCCTGGCTGATGCCTTTATTTTAGAAAAAGCATATTCAGCTGGGTTTAACATTGGGGAATGGAGGCAAGTACTTGATGGTGTGAGAAAACGTTTCCACAACATTGCGTATATCTTGCGTTCTGTGAATGGCTGCATTATCCATTATCAGAATACAGTTGTTCAGCTCCATTGCATTAAGTTTCTCGCAAAGATCATGTAGGAAATCGCAAAATAAATTACTGTTATAGTTCGCACTAATTACAGAATAATGTACTACCTGCTGATTATTTATAGCAAGAACGAGAGTCGCGTTGCGACCACGAACTGTTGGTACGGTGACAACAGCTCTCGTGTTAACCCTTGGACGTGCACTTGTCCGCCGCAAATGTAGATTAAATCCTGATTCACCTAAAAAATTAATTTTGCGCGATTTTGGGGGACCCATATTTCAAAATCCATTGCAAACTGCCTTCGTTGTTGTACCGTTGACTCAGAATTCATGCGATCTATTTCAATGGACGCACGCTTCAAAGTTATTTTTAATGACATTAGCCCTCGATGTATTGAAGAAATAGACAAATTTCTGTTGCGTAATGCAAGCTGTTCTTTAATATCTTGTAATGATAAGCCCGCGTTTCCTTCAATGATTTCCTCAATAGCGGTTAGAACGTCAGGAGTCAACTTGTGCAGCCGGGGTCCATCTCTTTTCTTAATTACTAACGTACAGTTTTGAGACTTTAACGTTGGACACCGGACTAAGATGAACCGCCTGCAGCACTAGGTGATGCTTCATCATTATGACTACTTATGTCACTCCAGTCACTCATTCTATATATACAAAACTCACGCAATGCATACAATAAGACGTGACAAACAACTGAATATTTTAGGGGTAAAGAAACCAAGAACAAGGGAAGAAGAATTTCCTAGAAATCCGTCTGGGACGATAAGGTAGGCTGGCGAACTCAATGAAATAAGTGAGACAAGTTCAAACGAAACCAGCTAAAGGTGGCCATTCACGATCGCTCCAAATGGAACCGCGCCAAGCCGTATAGCTCCATTTGGAGTGACTGAAATTTGAGGGGTCATTCACGACCGCTCCACAGACAGTCGCTCCGAAGGTCAACCAGTGAATTACCTTCTCAAAATGGATGACGATCTCTTGTGCTACGCTGCTGTTTGTTTAAGTATTAAAAGGAAAAAACCGAAGAGGAAATGGTGTAAAAAGTGGCTCCTGAACAGAAATCGTAATACTCACATCAATTTGATAAATGATCTTTCCCTTAAACCCGCTGATTGGCGGAACTATTTAAGAATGGATGAACCATCTTATTTATATTTACTACAGCTTGTTACTCCCTTGATTAAAAAAGAAAAGACAATCATGAGAGAAAGCATCACTCCACATGAAAGATTGGCAGCCACGTTACGATTTCTGGTTACAGTTACGGTTCTTACGATTTCGCTACAGGAATGAACTACGAAGAACTTAAGTTCTCTACAACCATTTCTGCTCAGCGCTTAGGAGTTATCATCCCCGAGACATGTTTGGCTATAATGCGCTGTCTGAAGGACTTCATGAAGGTAAGCTATGTATTATATATGTAAGGTAAATAACATAATTAATTTCCATAACTTCTTCTTCTTGTAATGCTGTTGCTATTTAACATAGAAAAAAATAACAGAACTTAACTGAGTGAGCGAAATGTAGGCTTTTTTTGACAGTATACGTTTTATATAATCAATTTCTCAGGAACCAAGAGGCAAGTAAAAAAATAAATCAAGAACGGTATTTTCATAGGTGACATCACATAAAATAAATAACTTAACCATTGAAAACAAATTATTTCACCGGAACAACTTAAGTAAAATTAGTATGCAAACAATTACAGATTAAACATGTTGAAAAAAACATATACATGCATATAAAGAAAGTAACAAAAGATTATTTAAAAAAAAGTATAAGCAAAGTTCATTATCATTCTTCCGGGTCCACAGCACCTAGAAAAGCGGTTATTATCACTTTCTCTGATTGAGTATTTGATGTTGGTGTGGGAGGGCTCATATCTTCAGTTACAATTTTAGAAGTTATGTTTAACTTGCCTACTTCGGCCATAAAAATGGCGTCATTTATTAACTTCTGGCATAAACATTCCATATTTTTCTGCAAAGATCTTAATTTTTCTGCAACATACGCCCCAAACGCGTCATGCATTTTTTTATCGGATGTTTGTTGCTGTTGGTCAAGTCTTTTAGAAATTTTCTCAAGAACCTGGTCGGCTTTTGAACGGGGTCTTTTAAACGTATTCCTGGAAGATCTTGACCCAACCCCTAAAGATAGGGAAACATCGATGTATTCTTGTTCTTCAATCTGAAAAAAAAATGGGCAATTGTTAAAATGATTTTGTCCAATAAGCTTTTCATTTTGTAACATTTGCACTGTATTTAAGTTTGTTACAAATGCTCAATAAAAATGTGCAGACCTACGGAAAAATGTGTAAACCTAAATCAATTTTTCAGATGCCAGGGTCCCAAAGTGAATGGAAACTAATCGCACAGGATTTCGAGGATAAATGGCAATTTCCACATTGTTTGGGTGCAGTTGACGGAAAGCATGTAAGAATTACGCCACCCCCTGGATCTGGATCTTACTTTTGGAACTACAAACAGTTCCACAGCATTGTTTTGATGGGTTGTGCTAACGCGAATTATGAGTTTATTTGGTGTGAAGTTGGAACAAATGGTAGAGTTTCAGACGGGGGCGCGATAAAAAACACACGATTTTACGAAAGACTGATCAGTGGTAATCTCAACATTCCCTCGCAAGTGCCAGGAAGCGGATCGTTGACTGAACTGCCTTATGTCGTTATAGGTGACGAGGCGTTTGCACTTACCCCTAACTTCATGAAGCCGTATTCAATGAAAACTTTGACTACGGAAAGAAGGATTTTCAATTACAGACTTTCAAGAGCTAGAAGAGTAGTGGAGAATGTTTTCGGTATACTGGCCAATAGATTTAGAATATTACGGACCAGCATAAATCTCGATTTATATGAGATAGACATCATTGTATTAACATGCTGTATCCTGCATAATTATTTACGCCGAAAAAGTACTGACTATATTCGCGAAGAAGACGTGATTGAGGATGTAGATGAATACTCCTTTCGGACACTGACACCACTGACTTCTGGAGATCATAGAAACGCAAGTTCCCTAGGAAAGATGGTCCGGGAACTTTTTACAGAATATTTCAACAATGAAGGAGAAGTTTACTGGCAAAATAGTGAGCGAAGATACATAGTACATGTATCTCATGAGAAGCAACTCCAGATTTATGCGAACCTTTCACCTAAAATGATGAAAAAATAAACATGTTGCAACGTGTGTGGTGGTTAGTGACCGTTAATTATTCACAAATCGTGAGATGCCGTCTGGTGTGATGTACGTCCCAGAAAAACATTTTCATGTTTCATGTTCATTCATTGTTTTATGTTTATATATGTTGGATTTTGAAGGGGTCGGGAAGGAAGTCGGTATAGAAAAGACATTTTTGTATAAGGCGTCCGCTTCTTTGAGGTGAAAAGAGACGACGAAAGGAAAAAAGTTGGTAATGATTCGGCTAGATTATCCTCTCAGGATTATATAGAAGGGGATAAATAGGAAAAGGAAAGCTAAATTGTTGAACAAATTATACTATGTTTTTCCACATTCTACATGTATTTGTTAAATATAAACAATGAATGAACAAAAAATGAAGAACAGTAGTTCCTTTAATAAAATGTAAAACTTACCTTGTTTAATTCCTTTCGGAAGGAACTTCTCATAGAAGAGTTTTTTTCAGTACCGCATCTCGCGTTGTATTTGTATCTCTGGTTTTGAAAAGGTCGACCAACTGGTCAAGGGCTGAATTTCTTTTATTCCTATCATGGTAGTCGTTATCCACCACTTTCCATAAACAGGGTAAACTTTTGTATAATTCTATCACTTCAATAATAAAATCACGATTGGATGCCATTGATTATAAGACTAATAAAACTTGAGAATACGACGGAGATGTTTACACAGTGACAAAAAGACGGAGACTGTGCCAAAAACACGCGGATTTTCCCATTCACGACCAGGCCAACGCGCCAAAATCCTCACCCTCCACGCCAAGTTTTCCCATTCACGAACGCGCCATGCCGTCGTCGCGCCGTAGATATTTGGAGTGGCGCGATGGAGTTTGGACCGGTCGAATATTCGGTTTTGCCATTGACGTGGTTTTTGGAACGGCGTCGCTCCGTTTGGCCTGCTTGGAGCCGCGCCAAGCCGTACAGCTCCATTTGGAGTGCCTGAAATTTGAGGGGGCATTCACGACCGCTCCACAGCCAGTCGCTCCGAACGTCAACCAGTGAATTACCTTCTCAAAATGAATGACGATCTCTTGTGCTACTCTTCTGTTTATTTACATATTAAAAGCAAAAAATCGAAGAGAAAATGGTGTAAGAAGTGGCTCCTGAACAGAAGCCGTAATACCCACATCAATTTGATGAAAGAACTTTCCCTTGAACCCGCTGATTGGAGGAACTATTTAAGGATGGATGAAACGTCTTATTTATTCATTATATTTAGTGTTCTATTGACCAAATTACTTCTTTCAATTATTTAATCTTTTTTGTAAGGTTTTGGTTGAAATGAAAAAGCTAGTGCCACGAGCGGGATCTGAATCCATGGCCTTCGGCTAAATACGCCGCTGCTCTACCACTTGAGCTATCGTGACTTCGATCCTCTCCGACACCAAAAAATGGCAAAAAGAGAGAAAATTCGAAAGGTTGTAGGTTGAGATGGGGAGTTGGTGCCCGAGTGGATCGAACTATCGAAGTCAGGATAGCTCAAGTGGTTAGCGCAGCGGCGTATTTAGCCGAATGTCGTGGATTCGAATCCCCTCGTGACACTATTTTTTCATTTCAACCAAAACCTTACAAAAAAAAGATTAACGTCTTATTTATATTTACTCCAGCTTGTTACCCCCTTGATTAGAAAACAAAAGACAGTCATGAGAGAAATCATCACTACATGAAAGGTTGGCAACCACATTACGATTTCTCGCTACAGGGATGAACTACAAAGAACTTAAGTTCTCTACTACGATTTCTGATCATTGTTAGGGGTTATCAATACCGCATCTCTCATTGCATTTGTATCCTTTGTTTTGAAAACGTCGACCAACTGGTTGAGGATCGAATTTCTTTTATTTCTATCGTGGTAATATAATCATTGTCCACCACTTTCATAAACATGGTAAACTTTCATACAATTCAATCACCTCAACAATAAAATCTCGATTGGATGTCATTACCAATAAAGAATAAACGTTTTTGACTTTTTGAGAATGTACGACGGAGATGTTTGCTCAGTGACAGAAAGACGGAGACTGCGCCAAAAAAACGAGGGTTTTCCCATTCACGACCAGGCCAGCGCGCCAAAATCCACACCCTCCACGCCAGGTTTTTCCATTCACGAACGCGCCATGCCGTCGTCGCGCCGTAGATTTTTGGAGTGGCGCGATGGAGTTTGGACCGGTCGAATATTCGGCGCAGCTCGGCACGCCAGTTCAGTTTTGCCATTGACGTGGTTTTTGGAACGGCGTCGCTCCGTTTGGCCTGCTTGGAGCGATCGTGAATGGCCACCTTAATAAAGTGTTTCATACGGCAACACGTCATGATTGACGCTATGCTCCACATTTTTTCGAATACCTTTTAAATAATTATTAATTTGCTTGCGAAAAGTATTAACTTGCTTGAGAATACTACTAATTACTATATTATTATTACTATACTAATACTACTAAGTACTAATTGGTTGGGAAAAATATTAAATTGCTTGAGAAAAGTATAAAAACGCTTGGGAAAAGTACTAATATGGTTGGAGAAAGTATTAAATTGGTAGAATAAAGGTATAAATATAATATAATAAATAAATAATAAGCAATCTGCGAAGTTTAATGTCACTTGAGGTATCATTTCCATCTATGCCTTTTTTAAATTTTTTGTAACCTCATTTTTAGAGGACTATTTAAATTTGAGAATTTTTTCTCAGACCTGATCTATAAATTTTTAATTGGTTATGTCAGTTGTCCGTGGAGGTGTGGATAAAATATTGTGGATGTGGTATTGAGCCATTCTTCGTTTTTCTGGCTCTAAGTTTGGGGTCGTTGTATTGGTGAAACAAGTAGTCAATAATTGTTAAACTTAAAGGAACTTATCTTGTTCTCTAGTAAAATTTAGCCTTTTCCCTTGCTTGTATTAAATATGGAAGATTTTTCTGAGCGTTTTGGATTTGTATCGCGCGTCACAAATATTAAAAATACCTCAAAAACCAAGTGTTTGATTAATTGTTTTGGCGTTTAAAAATGTCAAAGTTGTATTTAAGGTTTTAAATATAAAATAAAAATGAGGAAAAATTGCCTAAGAAAAAAAAACAAGCGTATGAATAATTTTTTGACCCACTATACATAAATCGTATTTCTTGGAAAGTGTAGAATATGAAAAAATTTTACTAATACATACCCATATGAGTAGCATTAGAAGGAAAATAATTCAAATAAATAATGAAACGTTTTTCTCAGTTTAATAAATGCTCTTACAAGGGGACGCCGAGCTGGGAGAGTAATGTCGGTCATTTGCAATTTCATTGCCTGGTCGTTAAACTCTTAAAATAAATTGCTCTCTTTTTAGATTTTTAGGATTGACTAGAAAAAAATACTGTGTCCATTCACATCATTCTATTTCAATATAGACGCAGATTCGATTAATATTTGGCGCCGCTTATTTTAGTAACATCGATTTCTTAATAACAAACCGAGACTTTCAAGTTTCCCAAGGCATCCATTTGTCTTCTATTTTTCCCATTTTAACCGGTGCCCCCTAGGGAAGCACACTTGCTCCCTTACTTTACTCATTTTTTTCAGTTGATCTTCCATTGCATTATGACACTTTAACCTTCACATATGCCGAAGACACGGCAATCCTCTCCACAACCAGCCATCCTGTTACTTCTATCTGCTTCTTCATATGCTTGAACACTGATTTCACCAGTGGAGAATCAAGAAAAAAATGAAATATCCAAATACGTAGTTTCACTCTTCATAAACTCACTTGTCTGTTTATAACGCATCCCGATTCCTCCAGCGGATAGTATACAACATCTTTGACAGTACTTGGACAAAAAAATTACGTGGAATCCACACACACGACTAAAACGAATTGACTGTAACAGTAGATATAAAATGCTTCAGAGACCACTTGACAAAAGATCGAAAAGACATTACTTAACAAAAAACTCTACAATACCCTATTCGCCCCAACTTGGACCTACGGACTTAAACTGTACGGGATTGCCAAGCGTTCCAATCTTAATATCCAACATACGTCCCAAACCTGGCAAACCTGGCCCACTCCGGGTACAATAAATTTCACTCCAAACTATCCTATCATAACAACCCATAATTAACCTGACCAGCTCAACCCTTCCTTCCAACCATCATAAAAGACTGAAGCGGAAGGTAGCTTAAGGTTCTCTGGGGAATGTTGTTGACCTCACGCCATAATGACAAATTACGACCACTTTCACTGGATAGTGGCTGTTCAAATCAATCTCACCAGGCATGTAAATGTGCATACAGTATTGTGTACGTGCATGTGTGTATGTTTATAATTGTAAATAACATAATTTGTGTTTGTTATATTTTGCATGCAGCTGTAAAAAAAAACGAAAAACTTATTTTAGATAAAATTTGAAATTAATTGAATTGTATAGGTTATCAATTAATTAAGGTTTTTAGTTGAGATAAAAAAGTCAGTGTCACGAACGGAATTCGAACTCACGACCTTCGGCAAGATACGCCGTTACTCTACCACTTGAGCTATCGTGACTTCGATCCACTCGGACACTAACTTCCCATCTCAACACCGCCTTTTGAATTTTCCCTCCTTTTTGCCATTTTTCAAATGTCGTGTAATCTATTTGGGGTTGAGATGGGTAGTTAAAAAACTAGTGATTGTATACGTTATATTTTGACGAAAAAATCGTAAATAACTTACGTTTATGAACAAAAGAAAGCCTAGTTATGAAACTTATCCGTCAAAATAATTAAGTCGATATAATCAAGTTTAAGATATTTTATATAATCAATATGTAAATTGAGCGGATGTAGGGAGCCGACGCGGCAAGAAAATTAGTTGAGCGTTTGCTTGATAAACTGATTTCGTCGTAGATTTGTCAACAAGGCCGTCAGATACAGTTCGGAGTGACGATTGAATTAATATGCAAACAGGGGCTAGTGGCGAATGACATGTCCACTAAGCTCAAATGTGAGAGGTACGTTTTGTCATGTAAACTACAGGTCGCGGCCACTTCATCGCCGCTAACTCCATATTCATGCAAACGTAACTGCTTTAGCCGAACCAACTTATATCATTTCGTCGACCCGAACCGCCCCCGGTTACACAATTACTGTGCCGAAGGGGTTAAGGATCGCCCGGGCCCGTCCTACCACGTAAATTCGTTCCCATCCGACGCATGGTTGCGATTCCTATATTTAGCTTTAGCAAAACAATGGAATCCTCTCCACAAAAATGTATTCTATGCTCAGATTATCTTCAAATGTTTAGAGTAGAAACGACAAAAGGACAACTTGTTTTTACACGGTCCATCGTAATGACTGTAATGAATACCGACTTTAATGAAAAAAGTACGCTCTAAATATTCAGTCAAGGCTTGTGAACCTAGGCTCAAACCCATAGGAACGCAGCAACATTAAGTGTCAAAAGATGTTTTAAAAGCCGTGAATTTCCTCGAATTTGGGTTTATTGGCAACTGAAAAAATTTTGACAAATCTAAAACCGTAAAAAATTTACTCCGTGAATGT